GCAGAATGTGGAGACACTGGGGAAATAAGGGTGACAAAACACCTTGGTAGTTCACAGTGACGGGGAGGGAGGAAATGGGAGGGGAGGAGAAATCTCAAACAACCCTGAACCAATACATTGGAAGTGAATGCGGCTGGTGGGGGAGGGGCGGAGGGGGGCACAGAAGAGTAAGGAGACCAGATGAGAAAATGCTAAAATTCCTTACCTGAGGAAAAGGATGTAGATGGAAGTTAGATAAATTGATAGGAAAAATTAAGTCTAACTACTGGCCTAAGTTACCTCAACCAGCAGAAGAATACAATTAGAATGCATGACTCTAACAAATAAAATTCAGTGCGTGCAATCAAAGGCAGAGAGGGAGAAAAATGAAAAGCAAAATAAAATGGAGAAGGGAAAATATAAAATGGCAGAAATCAGTCAAAATATAAAATAATTACAACAGATGGGAGCGCCTGGGTGGCTCCGTGGGTTGGTTGAGCATCTGACTTCGACTCAGGTCATGATCTCACGGTTTGTGAGTTCGAGCCCCGTGTCGGGCTCTGTGCTGACAGCTCAGAGCTTGGAGCCTGCTTCCGATTCTGTGTCTCCCTCTCTCTCTGCCCCTCCCCCCCTCACACTCTGTCTCTCAAAAATAAAATTAAAATGTAATTAAAAAAAATTTTTTTTAATGTACTGACGTGAAAAAAATGTAAAGTGAATAAAGCTAAATAATGCATGGAGTATGCGTCTTGTGGGGGCAGGGACACATAAATGAGATGTTCACAGATGCGCAGGGAAAGGTCTGGAATGATGCACCGGAACTATCGCTGAGAAGGGATGGTCATTTTACCACAAAATATGTATTTGAAATGTTCACAGAAAACAAAACTTAGTTCTAAAACAACTTTTTAAAGAGTGAACATGAAAATGTGAAACCATTTTAAAAAGTGGAAGCCACACGCTGTATGAGCCTTTTTGCAACTAGACAGCTGACGGATGATTAGCATCCAAAATATAACCCACGAGACAATTACAAATCAGTAAGGGAAGAAGCGGACGAAAGACAGGAATGGCCATTCACAGCAGAAACCACAAGAGTCGATAAACATGTGAAAAAGCTGTGCAGTAATAACCAAGGAGATGCGAGTTAAAATCACAATCAGAGTGAAGAAACAGTGTAAAGTTGATGGCACCAAGGGGTAGACATGCTCCTGCCCTATTAGAAGGCTGCGTTCTAATCCAACTGCTGTGGAAGGCAATGTGGCAACATCTGGGAAAGCTGAAGAAACAGTCCAAAGTCCAGCAAAGACCGCTTCTACTTAAATACTCAGAAGCTGTCACACACGAACAAGGAGACACATTCCAGAATGTTCTCTGCACCGGTTTGTGACAGTGCAAAACTCGGAACTTCCTAAGTATATTTATACAATGAGACACCAGGCAGGAATCGAAATAAACGAACTACAGTCGACGTATCAAAGTGGGAAAAAGAATCTCTTAAACACGATTTGGTTTTTACGTAAAGGTGACTTAGGGACCATGAAGTAAATCTCAACAAATTTCAAAGAATTTAAATAATCAGGAAATGTTCTGAGACCACAATCGCAATTGAGGTGAAGATTAATACCGATGGGTGCGGAATTTCCTTTTGGGCTGACAAAAGTGTTCTGGAACGAGATGGTGTTGATGGTTGCACACTGTACATGTGCTAAATACCACTGAATTTACCTTGAGGAAAAACGGTAAGTTTTACATTACATGTATTTCACCACAAGTGTATAAAAAAATCAGTAACAAAAAATACCAAGGAAAATCCCATGTTAATAAAATAATACTCTTCTCAATAACTGGTAAGTCAAAGGACAACGCATGCGCAGTGGGACTCAGAACAATGGAATAATGAAAACACGGTATCAAGATTTACAAAGGGAAGCTAGGGGGCGCCTGGGTGGCTCGGTCGGCTGAGCGTCCGACTTCAGCTCAGGGCATGATCTCACAGTTCATGAGTTCGAGCCCCGCGTCGGGCTCTGTGCTGGCAGCTCAGAGCCTGGAGCCTGCTTCAGATTCTGTGTCTCCCTCTCTCTCTGCCCCTCCCCCACTCACACGCACGCGCTCGCTCTCTCTCTCTCTCAAAAAGAAACATTAAAAAAAAGAAAGACTGAAATCATTGATAAACCTCAGATTAATTCAGAAGAAGGTAACCTACCAACAACAGAAGTCAGCAATAAAATAGCTTCACCACATTCTCACTGCCAAAAATCCACAGCATGAAGACAGTCCTGAAATGATCAGACTAATCTAGACCCAGGGGCAGTCTACAAAATGACCAGCCTTGACAGTTCAAACATGCCAGTGTCACGAGAAACAAACACCATCTGAGAAACTGTCCTGGAGTGAAGGAGACAAGAGACCTCTCAATGCGGCAAGTGACCCTGGACCTTGAAAACAAATGAGAAAGACAATGGGACAACGGATAGATTGTGACCCGGGTCTCTGTATGACAGTTGACCACCGTTACGCTGCCCCTTCGGTAACCATCCTGTAGGTGCATCAGCAAATGTCCTCGTTCTCAGGAAATACATGCTGGGCACAAAGGGACGTGATGTCCGAGACCTCCTCCAACAGTTCAGGTCCAAACAGACGCAGGGGTGGAGTTCAGCACTTACTCGTGAGCTGGCTTCATCTACCAGAGGCCCGCTCCTTGTCAAAGCCAAGGGTTGGTGAGCTGACTGCCCCACCCCCCGCCACCCCCACCAGCCCCTTTAAGGACTAGAGGGCAGCCTGGACCCTGGCTCAGCTCCCGGCCCTTCCTGACGCTGTGAGGCTCTTCCCACTGTCTTCCCAGAAAGGCCCAGACGGTTCTGAGAAGCAGATACCCACCTGGAACATGAACAGGCCCATCCCCTGGCGTGCAGCCCTTTGACTCAGTAGCAGTGTCTGCAGCTCCAGCCCGAGGCCCGTCGGCCCTTCAAGACCCACACACTTTGGAGCAGGTGGGGCAGGTGGGCCTAAAGCCAAACCAGGAGGGGCCGGAGTCCTGAGGAGAGCTGGGTTCCAGCTGGACTACCCCTGCCCGGGGCTAAGGCTCAGTTTGGGCTCCCTCTGTTCCCCTTTGGGCCTCAACATCATTAAACTCCCTCACCCCCCACCCCCCACCCTACCTAGAATAATGGCCCAGACAACATGAACCACCTGCCCGTTCCCTCATCCTTCAGCTGGGCCAGGAGCCAGTGCCATCTGGCTGAAGGGGTCAGGGAGCCACAGGAACACCCCTTCCCAGCTGTTCGTGGGGTCGGTGTCTCGGGAGTGACAGACCTTCATCTGCTTCGGTTGGGGTAGGTCTAACTTGGCCGCTGCTGGGGAGAAGCCCCGAATCCCACCCGCAACCCCCACCTCAGGCTCGCACCTGAGCCTAGGGCGGCGACAGGGGCAGATCTGGGAGCCCCAAAGAGGGTGTGAGCTAGGACCCAAGCCCCTGGGCGCTCACCTGGAGCAGGAGGGGGCGCAGATCACCCAGATGTCCACCGTCCGCCTGCCGCCTGCCCGCCCGGGGCCACAGACTGACCTAGAGAGCGTGCGGGGAAGACGCATGCGGCCACAGGTGCGGCTCGGTAGCAGGACGCCCGCACACCTGCGGCCCGGCCCCACAGCGCTTGCGCGCCCCTCCGCCACGCAGAGCTGACCTGACCTCCAGGACCCGCAGTGGGTGGCGCACCCAGCCAGCCCCTCGTGTGGGAGCAAAGGAAGGGCCCGGGGATAGGGCCACAGGCTCCCGGCAGCTTCCGCCACCAAGAGGGTCCCGGCCGGTCGGCGCCCGCGCGATGGGGGCTCCAGATGGGTCACGGCTCCGCCTCCAGTTCCCTCCAGAGGCCTCACGGGGAGGGCCGACCCCGGCTCCTCTGAAATCTGTCTCTGTTCCGTTTTTCTTGCCACTGCCTCATCACGTTGGGCGGCAGTCGTTCAAAGCTGGGGACACCAGGCCCGTCACCAGCAGCTCCAGCATGGCCACCCTGAGCAAAGGACGCTGCCGAGGCCCCCCCTTCCACAGCCAGGTTTGCAGGCCTGTTGAGCTTTGCCCAGTCCCTGGTCCCCTCCCCACCCATCAGGCACCCTCCTTCCTCCTGCTCGGGGGCTGGGCCCAAGTATGGGCCCAGAGGCCCTGACCTGGCCTCCCTACCTGGCAGCCACGGTCCTAGCCCCTCACCCCAGCCCCAGCCCTGCATCCTCCTTAACTGAGTCAACCCTGCCTGGTCCCGGAGCTCTCCCGTGCAGACGGCTGCCCCTGCAGTCAGCCTTACACACGCAAACACACATTCATACTCACACGGGGCAACAGAAGCCACCAGCGGGCCATCTCCCCAGCAGCACCCAGACAAGGACGTGAGGACCAGAGCACAGGTATTCTTTATTAGTTTCCACGCTCAATTGTCCCGAAGAGTGATTCGGAGCCCTTCCCACACAAAGTACAGGGTTATGGGGCGCCAGGTCCTCCACAGTCACCCAGCCACACAGCCTTCCCGAGACGTCCCTGGGAACCCCGAGGAGAACACAACTTGTGCTACAATGAGGCCCGGTCATTCTGGCCCCCAGCCGACTCCTCCCCCTGACTCCTGACCTCAGGGAGAGGAGCAGACACTGCCAAGAGCCTGGCCCACCTGAGAAAGGAAATGGGGGCCCCAAGGTGGTAACTCAGCCGCCAGGAGGCCAGGTCCACTCAGATGAAGAAAACAAGGCACGGTCGTTAAAAGGAAGCAGAGCCAAAAAACCGAGCTGAAGACGGGTGTCCTCCGATGCTGGCCACCGCCCCTCACAGTTCCTTTCTCCCAGACTTAACCCCCAGGCAGTCTGGTCTGGGGCGGGCAGAGTGAGGGCAATAGGTGAGTCCACAGCAGAGGGCAGGCACGCCCTCCGCCTGTCCACCGCCCCCCCCCCAGCATCCCTGATGGGAGCCAGGGCTAAGGCCTCATGGCTCCCGCCCCCTTCCCCTCGGTCCTCAGGTCAGCCTGGCACCTGAGTGGGGCTCAGCTCCGGTAGCTCTTGAGCAGGTGCCCAGCGATCACCAGCCTCTGGATCTCGCTGGTGCCTTCATAAATCTCAGTGATGCGCGCGTCGCGGTAGTGCCGTTCGGCCGGCATCTCTGTCACGTAGCCCATGCCACCCAGGATCTGGATGGCCTGCAGGGGAAAGCAGGGGATCGGGAGGGAAAAGGCCGTGTCAGGGGCGGGATCGGCCACAGTAAGGGACCAGCGAGGGAGGGGTAACCGGCCCACTTTCAGCTACTCAGTGTTGGGGACCTCACACCCAGGCACCTCTTCATGCACCCAGGACACTCACCTGGTGGCTGATGGCAGTTGCAGCCTCCGACGCAGCCAGCTTGGCCATTGCTGCTTCCTAAGCACAGGGGACGGTGGGGTCAGAAACTACTTTGGGGAGGAGCCCCCAGCTCATGGCCCTTCAGCAAGGCCGGGCCTGGGGAGCCTCCCCTCGAAGCAGTAAGCCTACGAGGCCCAAGGAAGCGGGGCCCCACCCGGACTTCTCCCTCGGCACACCAAAGCTCTGGGCCATGCCCAGGGACCCCCTTGCCACAGGCACCTTGGTAAAAGGCTTCTTGTTATCCTTCAACATGGCAGCACGCCAGGTCAGCAGCCGGGCACTCTCCAGGGCCAGGGCCATGTCCGCCAGCTTGAACTGCAAGAACCCAGCCCCGCCTCAGTCAGTGGCCGCCCCAATCCCCCACCCCTCCCTCCCAGGACAGGAGGGAGGAGGAGGGAGAGCCTGCAAGCAGGTAAAAGCTCACCTCGGAGCCGGAGAGGAAAGGCCGGGCTGCCCTCCCTCCGGCATCCAGGCTAGGCTCCACTCGTTACCTGGATGCTCTGGAGCTTGGTGAGGGGGGCCCCGAAGGCCTTGCGATTCTCGGCATAGTTCACAGCACAATCGAGGGCGGCCTGGGCGATGCCCAGGGCCTGGGCGGCAATGCCAATGCGCCCCATGTCCAGGGTTTGCTGTGGGGAAGGCCCCGGTCAGTGGCTGGCCAGCGGGGCCCCAGAGCCCCTGCCCCCACTGCCGGGCTCACCATGGCTATCTTGAAGCCCATCCCCAGCTCCCCCAGCAGGTTGTCCTTGGGGATGTGGCAGTCCTCAAAGATGAGGTTGGCCGTGGATGAGGCCCGGATGCCCAGCTTGTCTTCCTTCTTCCCCAGCGTGAGCCCAGGCGTCGGCATGGGAACCAAGAAGGCACTGATGCCCTGTGAGGCATACCCATCGAGGTTCTCAGGGGCTGGCCCAGGCCACACCCCTTGATCCCCCACCAGACACCGAGCAGCCCCTTCCCTCCCTCAGACCTCAGGCCGGGACGCCCTCTGCTGGCCTCCCTGGGGACGGTGCAGACTCCAGCCTCAGGCCAACCACCGGCCAGAGAGGGGAAGGGGCAGCCCCAAGGTGGCCAAGAGCAGAACAGCTCCACGGAGCCGAGGGGATTCGGGTGAAGAAACTGCGAAAGGTCTCCATCCCGGAGGTCTCATCGACCCTCCCCCTGGGGTCCCCACCTTGTTGTGCAAGGATCTGTCTGTGCTGGCAAAGACCACGGTGGCGGAGGCCTCCCACGCGTTGGTGATCCAGGCCTTGGTGCCGTTCAGGACCCACGAGTTGCCCTCCGCTCGGGCGGTGGTGGAGGCGGCTCCTGCGTCGCTGCCATTCCCTGCCCCATGCACAGACTCAGAATCCACCGCCTCCACCCCGCAAAGGGCGCTGCCACCAGCAAGCAGGGGACCCGGGTTCCACCCACCCCCGACTTGTGAGCACGAGGCCCCTGCCACCTGGCCTCCAAAGAATCAGGGTTCTGGCTCCTAACAGAAAGCTCCCAGGTCGCACCAGCTCCCAGAGTCCTCGGAGACTAGTCCAGGAGGGGAGGGGGGTGGCACAGCAGGGCATCTTCAACCCGAAGGGACCCCAGAGCCAGGCATCCCTCACTGGCTCAGCTGAGGTGACTGCGTGCTCCTTGGTCCCTCCCAGGCGGCCCGCACGGAAGACCTGTGCCCTCGCCTCTCGCGGGCCCCCCTCCTGCCTCTGCCCTGGGGGACAACCCAGCTCCAACCCAAGTCCGTCACTCTGACCCTGAGGTGAGGGGATGGGGGCCGACCGCTGTCCCACCGTGGTACCTGGTTCACTGAGTGCAAAGCAGCCAATTTTGTCACCACCGGTAAAAGGGGTAATCCACAGCTGCTTCTGCTCCTTGGAGCCGAACTTCAGGAGAGGCCCCAAGTAGAGGGACTGGAGGGGGTGGGCGCAGGGAGGCAGTCAGAGGCCACCTGCCTGCCTGTGGACCCCACCCCAAGACCTGTTCTCTCCAGGGCCCTACCTGAAAGGACCAAGCCCAGAGGAGGTTGGGGGCTGGGCACCAAGGCCTGGCTGTGCCCAGGGTGCCTGGACACATAGCCAGGGTGCCCACCTGCCCACGGGAGCCTCCCCTCCACCTGTGTGTCCCAGGGACCCAGGAGAGGGAACTCACGTTGTTGACACTCATGATGACTCCTGTAGAGGCACAGCCCCGACTGATCTCCTCCATGGCAATGGCATAGGCCAGGTAATCAAGGCCGGCACCATTTAGCTCCTCGGGCACATCCATGGCCAGAAGCCCGAGCTCGCCCATCTTCTTCACCTGGCCCCAAAGAAGGATGTCATGGCAAGGGCCGTCGGGCGAGCACCCCTTAGCTCCTGAGCCGGTGTCTGCACAAACAGGCCATGTGGCCCCATCCACCCACCCCATGATGCCCGAATCCAGACACTGAAGACCCAGCCTCAGCTGAGGTCTGCATGACAGCACCGTGGACTGAAGCTGTTGTGCCCCCACACTCCACACTGGCTCACCTCTGTGTCTGCAGCCGCAGCCACAGCCAGCGAGCAGGCAGAAGGTACAGGAAGCCTTCAGGGGCCTCCAAGGTAAGGAGCAGGGCAGCATAGTGTCATACTGACCTTCTCAGCCCCACGCACATACTCTGCCGCCCCACCACAGGGTCTTTGCACATGCTGTTTCCGATCATCTGCAAATGAGTTGTTGCGGCCTCCTTCCTTTCAGACCTCAGCTCGAGCCTCGCTTCTTCCAGCTGCCGTCTCTGTCCTCTAACTGCGTGCCCTCCCAGAATCTCCGCCTTTCCAATGCGGTGCTTAGGCGGGTGCAGGTTCACACCTATTACCCTGCTGGTTTCGGTTACGATCCTTCTCCCTGACCATGACGGCAGAGACTGCTGTCTGCCCACTGTGCTATCCCCAGTGCCCGTGAAAGAGCGAATAAGTGGTAAGAGTTTGGAATTTCTGATGCAGGACAACAATACTAGTAATGGTCAACCATCAAGTGACTACTACGTGCCCAGCTCTGCATCTGAGTCTTTCCAGAGCTCAGACACATGAAGCAACCTGCTCGGGGCCAGAGCCCGGAGGCAGTGCAGCTGGACTGCACCCCGGGCCGTGACCCCAGGGCCATAACCAGCTCAGCACACCACCCAGCTCCGCCCCTCTGACCTGGGACGAACTGCCTACCCTCCTTCAGCCTGCTTTCCTTCTGCCCAACGGGGACCACACACAACCTACCGAGCTTCAAAAAGAAGCAGATAAAACCAAGTGACTGTGGGGAGCAGCAGGGGCGGGGGGAGGAGAAGGGCACCGTTGCTTTCCACGAGCCCCTCTATGTCACTAGATTCTTGTAACCGTGTTCTTACGTTATTTTAACTTAGAAGCGAACATAAGAATGTTCACAATATCTTCTCACTTTTCTATAATATTGTCTCCATGATTATAAAATTGTTACACTTCCTCTGCAAATAGGATCTTCGTCACAGACCTGTTTGAGGACTGAGACAATATATATAAAATGCTGAGCCCAGTGCCGGCACAAGCTGATCAGTGAATGGCACTTACTATCATTAAGTAGCTGACAAGTTGGCGTCTGGACAAGAATGGATGGGAGGAGGGGCACTTCCATAACGATCTGTGCGCCCCTCTATGAATCTCTTACCAGATTCTGCCTTGAACCGCTCACGGGGAGACTCTCCTGTAAGACTCCACACCTGGGGTGACCTTACTCCCCTCCGCCACTCCGGAAAGACCACAAGTGTCTGCCGAAAGGCAGCGAGCTGCAGAGCCGCAACTGCAATGAAGCTCTGCAGCCACAGGGGGGCGACATGGGTGGGAGGCTCTGCAGGTGAGATTAAGGCTGGTGAGATGGGGGTTACCCTGGATTACCCAGGGGGCCCCAATGTCATCTCCAGGGTCCTTACAAGGGAAAGAGGGAGACAGGAGGGTCGGAGAACGGAGATGGCCCCTTCTCTGGAGCCGCCAGAAGAAAGCGGCCCGGCCAGCATGCGGCTCTCAGCCCAGCGGGTCCCACATCAGATTTTTGATCTCCAGGAGCTGTCAGATAATAACGTGGTGTTGTTTCAAGCCGCTAGTCTGTGGACACCAGCAAGAGGAAACTAACAGACGGTGATAAAGTACCCAGAGGCGCCAGGGGTGTGTCACTTCGAGAACCGCTGAAAAGACAAATGTTCTGTGCTGACCGCACACCTGCCGTCAGAGGGGGGCAGCGGCCTGCTCGGAGATGCTGCACGCTCAGCAGGGTGGAAGCACCGGGGCGGGGGTTCAAGGCAGTGAGTGACTGCTTCAGCTGATTCGGAACCCATGGGGCTTCACAGACGTGCTAAAGCCAGCACGAGTGTGGCCTCCAAACAGAAACCATCAGACCCACACTTGAAGGTAGCCAACTCACCCATGCCAGGGGGAGAAACGTGGTGCCGGGTTAGGAGTCCGGGCCACACTCCACCGGGTGCCGGAAACACGAGGAAAGCTTCAGGGATTTTACGCGCTGCAGCCTAGAAGGGCACCCCGCTGGAAGGCTCTCTCTGGCCTACCGGCAAAACTGCCGCTGCCCCATGTAACCTACCAGTGCCACCCAACCTCCTCCTCATGCCACAGCCCTTCCTGGCCACCTGCCCAGAAGAAAGGGCTCTGATTAGCTCACCCGCCCCACAGCTCCACCTCATCCCCGGAAACAAAAAGGAAACCCAAATTTGTGGTTCCAGGACAGAGACCAAGCTGTCTCCGCTACAAGGAAGCCAGGAGTTCCGGGCACTTCTCTCCGCAGCTGCTTCTCCCATTGGCTAGTCCAGGCAGCTGTCACTGTAGGAGATCACTGCACCCCTGACCGGTCATTCCTCTTGAGAGTCTCACCCATGTCCCCTCCTCCCCCACCTCCTGCCATCAGTGTCTGCTTGAAAAACCTCCAGCCCCAACACGCTTGAGGGCAGGCACTCACCCACGCCAGGCCCAGAGCCTGCACACAACCAGGTTCCCCCAGTTTCATCAGGGATGGCTGGAGCCTGGGGCTGCCCTTTCCAACCTTTCTATTCTGAAGCAGATTGTGAGAACTCTGGCAAAAGGTTACGGCCAGAGGCAGGAATGTTCTAGGAACAATACGGAGGCAGAAGCAGTAATGGCCACGAGGTGCGCTCACCCAAGCGTGTCCTGGAAAAGAGGCCGGCATCGAGGGAAAGAACCAGCGGGGCCGTGGAAAGAACACGCAGTATCATCAAAAAGAGAAAGAAAGCAGGGCCAAGATGGAAAGCAGCAGAAACATAAAGAACACGTGTCCAGTGGTAGAAATCGTTTCCGATCTAAGTGCACGGATGGCCACCGGCTACCAGCAGAGGGGCCTGGGCTTCAGAGTCGTCCCAAGGGGAACCTCCCGGAGCTACTCATATGGCCACCCTCGGTCTCTTGTGTCTGTGAGCCAGACCTGCAACCCAAAGAGAGGCACCAGCCCCGACAAGGCCAAGCCTACTGGTCTCCAAACTCCCAAGACACGAGAAAGAGTAACACCCCTTTCCTGGTTGCGACGGAACGAGCCTTCGGCACCGCCTGCCTTGGGTTTGGGAGGCGCTGAGCAGGTACTTCATATAAAGTCAATGCCTCAAGTCGCCTCTAGAGCTCACATTTTTACAAATCAAATGGATCCTAAGTATGTGTGTGCTCACTAGAGCCCAAACTAACCCCCTTAGAAGAATCAAATCTCCCAGCCTGTTGGAGATTGGCTGCGTATTCGAGGGAAAGAGGCCCCGTTGGCCGCCGCCTCTAGTGTCCGCTGTCGGCTCGTGGGTGCTCCGAGCTGATGCAGCAAGGACATTCGGGGCTACCTGACAGCTGGGCGACCATCTGCTGAAGGTCGAGCACTCATTGAGAGCAAGGTGTTGTGTGCACAGGGACGTGCAAACACAAATAGGAGCTCACTGCCTGCAACATCCGTGCTGGAAGACATACGCCCGGCGATGTGCTGAGCACAACCAGGATCATGGGTTATGAACGGGATGCTCCCGGAACACAGACCAATGAAGTTTGCTTGAGACACATGGGAGGTGGCAATCAGGACACATTTCCAGGGTGGAATTAACAAGAGTCAGTGGCTATGAGGAAGAAGAAAATGGGGTAGGGCCCTAGAGGTTTCTATGTGGCTAACCAGGTCAGCGTAGCACCATCACCTGCCAGGGCATGAAAAAGACGAGGTGTTGCACCTGGTCTATTAAAGTTACTCAATAAACAGTCACTGAGTGAAGAAGAAATGGGGCTGTTTTGTTTTGTTTTGTATGCTCCACACCCATCAGGGGGCTTGAACTCATGACCCTGAGATCAAGAGTCGCATGCTCTCCTGACTGAGCCAGCCAGGTGCCCGGGCTCAGTTTTCTACACATAAAGTTTGGTGAGTCCAAAATCAGTTGAAACACCATTTTATTTCTTGCTTCCCTTTATGACAAAATAACATTGTAAGTGTATATTTACACCTTTTTTTCTTCTTTTTTCTTTTTTTTGGTTTGGACCCAGGAAGAATGAAGTTGAACTTAGGTTCCCAAACCAGCCAAGTGACCAGAAATTGGCACCAGCCTTCCACCTAATAGTTGGTCTGCCTCCCCCAATTCTTCTCCCCTTGACCCTTCCCCCATAAACCCACATTTCTGGGCGGTGGTGAAAAAATATTAGAAATCATTAACTAAGCATCTACTATAGGCCAGGCCGGGCTCAGGAGTCTATAGACTCCTACTGACTCTGTATGTGTGACTGGGAAGCAAGCAGCTTAACCCGTGGCTTCCGTTTTCATCTAAAAACTGAAGATAATTTAAGTAACTACCCCCAGAGTGTTGTGCCGAAGATGTAAGGCATAAGCACCTAGAATACGGTAACCCCTAAATGATAGTTATTCCTGTTCCTATCTCTATTTTATCTGGAAACACTAGTGGGATTATTATCTTGAATTCCACAACCTGCCATATCCTCTGTGTGGCTCGAGCTCTGTTCCCTCTGCCCGCTTAAGCCCTGGCCTTCCTGCTGCAACTGGGAGATGAGCACCCCCCCCCCCCACTCCCCGAAACACAGAGGGGGAGGAAGCAAAAACCCAGCAGGCCTCCTCAATCCGTGGCCAAGGGAGTCCAGTACTGATTAACCTCCATAATCCCATCAGCCACCAAGACAAGCGGGGTGGTGGCAAAATCCGAAGATTTAGCACAACTCCTTCCTAGCTCTGCAACCCCAGGCAATTCAAACAACGGCTCCTTTGTCATCTACGAAAAGGGGATAATAACAGCAGGACTCGGGACAATTTGATGACATCACAGACATGAAAACACCCTGACCAACACAGACCCAAATACAGATGCCATCGCGACTCTGAGCCAGGCCGTGCATTCGGCAGATCCTGATGAGCTGCCCCCACCTGCCAGAGAGAAGGAGGCTGCCTGCCGCCCATGGTCTCCTCCCCCCATACCTGTGTCTGCCCCTATTCCGGAGGGTTAGCTTGAAAAATACCCAGCACCAGGAAGCAGGGAGGAGATTATAAAGCCAGAGGATTAGTTCAGAGGAGCTCGTCAAAAAGTCTGTTTCTATTGCCAGCTTTCTTGCCCAGAGCAAATCTGTCTGTAATATTAGTAAGAATTTGAGGGAATGTAGGAATAGGATAGGAAAAGTAAATCAAGCCGACTGTCTTTTGGTAGGAAAAGCCCCAGCACACAGCCACACTCACATAACTGCTCTGGGGAGAGCGCCTCTGAGCTCTTCCTGCTTGTCAATGGTCATCCGTTCACTCCCATCCTCTGTCTGCAGAGAGATGGCGTTTGTTCACATCTCCATTAACGGCACCGAAAGGTGAAGGGAAACTGCCAGATAAGGTTACTGAGAGCAGGGCATGTGGGTACAGAGGGCAGAAGGGCAGCTTAGACCTTTGACGGGAATATTCCCAACTAGAAGGGGGCTTCCCTGCCTGCCAGCAGGGCTTCTGGAACAACCACGTGGATAGTGTGGATGGAGAAGGGTTTTGGAGCCAGCCAGACTTGAGATATGAAGTCTAGCACCACGGATCAGTAACCCTGGAAAATCACTTTACCTCTGCCTCAAATTTCTCAACGTAATGGTATTAATAATAGCTACCATTTCCCAAGGGCCAGGAGGCACCAGAATTTGACAGGCATTACCCCACTTAATCCTTGTGAGCATTCTAGAAGCAAAATGGAGATTAGACTTGCAGGTGAGGACGTCCTCAGGACTAGACTAAAAAGGTGCACATGAAGTACTCAACAACTCAAAAGTTATCCCCCTGATGCCAGTGCCCAGAATGCCAGGTTCTACTATACCTGGAGCTCCCCCAGGGACTGCCATGGTTCTAAGCACAGTGCCCAATATGCTGTGATCAGCACAGTATTTTCTAAGCTGGAAAAGTGGCCCCAGAAGACATGGATGGCAACTCTTGAACTCCTTAAGAGTGAAAAAAACAGGCCAAGAGAAGAGGCCAGAAAGGTTTCCTCTTTTACAAGTTATTGACTGAACAAATAGCTGTTGGATATTTATACCATGTGCCACATGGCTTGCCAGGCCCGGGAATACAGCAGGAACAGCTTTTTTTTTTAAAGTTTATTTACTGGAGGTGGGGGGGCGGGGGGGGCAGAGAGAGGGAGACAGAGAATCCCAAGCAGGGCGTTGCTGTCAGTGCAGAGCCCGACGTGGGGCTTGATCTCACAAACCGTGAGATCACGACCCGAGCTGAAATCAAGAGTTGGACGCTTAACCTCCTGAGGCACCCAGGCGCCCCTACGGCAGGAACATCTTAAACGTGAAATTACAGATGCGCCGACGTCAAGGGAAAGAGCACTCGCACTGAGAGCTCCGGGTCTGGCGAAGAGCTGGGTCCCAGGCCTAGCTGTGCAACTCCCGAGCTCCGTGATCTGGGGCCCATTATTGAACCCTTGAGTCCCTCTGGGTTCACCAACCACACAACCGGATGTAGGATACCAGTACCCTCACCTCACAGGGCTACGGTGAGACTCGGATGGGCTGGCACACCTCAGAACCATGCCAAGCACCCTGCAAGCGTTAACTCTTACTATAGGCACAAGGCCTGGCACACAGTGAGCACGCCGACCACGCACCATTATTACTGTTATTCCAGAAGTTAAATCCAGGCCTCGTGCTGAACGAAGGAAACCTCCACAACATTTTCTGGGTCCCAGGGTTCCTGGCTTGGGAGTCTCGGTGCCTCTGGCTATCACTGTCCCCACACATCCAGGAGCAGCTGGCAGACCACCATCAGGGGCTGCTGAGGTTGGAACTCTCACCTGGGCTGTCGGGAAGCGATGCTCCTTGTCCACCTGGGCGGCAATGGGAACCAGCTCCTTCTCGGCAAATTCCCGGCACGTCTGACGCAGCATCTGGTGCGTCTCGGGAAGTTCCACAGACTGGTAGATAGTGTGCAACTGACGCCAGTCCCAAGGACGCAGAGCTGCCGGCAAGAACAGGTGTTGGTGGAAAGGGATTGCATCATCATCACCATCATAAACCAATGACTTGGTGGGCCTCCACCAGGAATGTCCCAAAGGACATCTGGCAACGTCTGGAAACAATTCTGGTCGTTACACCTGAAGAGCGAAATGCTACTGCTGTGAACTGGGTAGGGGCCAGGGGTACTAACACCCTACCTACAATGTACAGGACAGATCCCACAACAAAGGATTATCTGCCCAGGGATGTCTGGGTGGCTCAGTCGGTTGAGCATCTGACTCTTGATTTTGGCTCAGGTCATGATCCTAGGGTTGTGGGATCGAGTTCTGCGGCCAGCTCCACGCTGAGTGTAGAGCCTGCTTAAGATGGTCTCTCA